GGGGGGGGCGGGGGATGGAACTGAGGCATAGTTTGGAGGGATTCACTTTGCAAATGAGGAGGGACATATGTCTTATTTGAATACATGGAAAGGAAGAGACCACAGCCAAAACGTATGCGTATTTTTGGAGGAGGGCTGGCACAAAATTTGTAGGTTATATCTAGTAAACCAGATCTCCGTCTCTAGTTTTGCAAGATGAGAGGGTTTTCCTTTTTGGGAACTGGAGCAGACCGTATTTTGAGATGCTGGAGAGGAAATGAGGGGAGCACAGTAGACTTTTGGAGCATACTGTTAAAGAAGACGTCCTGAGGCCAGAGTCACATGTGTGCTAACGGTTCCAGGGCCCGGCCCCTGCAGCCCCTCGGTGCGCTCGCTGCAGGGTGGGGAGGCCGGTGTTGGCAGTCAGCTGAGCTCACTCATTGCTCGTGTCCCCCCATCCCACAAACACCAGGCTGGGGCACGTGATCCCACTGTGTTCCAGCCAAACGTCAGATTGCTGCGTATCGAGGACCTTGATGGAAAGTCAAAACCCCAAAGTGTTAGTTCCACAAATTTTAAGTGGCTGCTGTGGCAGAAGAAGGAAGCTGGAAGCGGGTACGGGAGGGCAGTGCTAATGGGGTCCGTGTTTTAGAGACTGGCTTCAGGGGCATCTGATCACAGCCATGGCTGATCTTCCTATCTTACTAAAGACGTTTCGCTGTATTCTCAAAACCTCTGTTTCATTTGATGTGGACGGCAATCCTGTGGAGTACTTCTGTGATCTTGGTTTGGCATGTGAAGAAACCCAGCCTCAGTGAGCTGAATGAAGCGGGATCCCCCAGGGACACGGCTGGGGGACTGCCGTGGACTCGGGGCTGCCAAACCCAAAGCCGAGCTCTTCTCATCTTCCTCCCTCACTCCATGTTCTTGCCACCATTTGGAAGTAATCTTGAGAAGCCCTTTCTTCATCTGAGTGCGCGCATTCTCCCCACCCTGTCCCCAAGCTTCCTGAGAATGAGCTGTAGCACACTGGGACCAGAACCTGGGCAAGCAGAAGGGCCAGTGTGGGGAAGGTGGTGGCAGTGGGCTTGGTATCTAGGGAGCCTTGCCTGCAATTCAAGGGCACAGGGCAGGAGGCAGTAGGGACAGGTAAAGGGTGGCTGAGGACAGGTGAGTGACCGAGCAGGTGAGGATCACAATGGAGAAATCGTGTTCAGGCACCTGCTTGGAAAGCCGGAATGGGAGGAGACAGAGAGCAGGAAGTGGAGGGGCAGCAGATAAGAAAGAGAGGACCCAGGGTGAAAGAACCCAGGGAGATAGGGCCCAAAGTACTGGAGGGTGTGGGGCACGTATGTGGTGGGAAGGCACTAGAATACTCACATCCTCATTCCCTGCTCCTGGACCGCAGTCTGCTTCCACGTGCCCCGCCCCCAAGAGCAGCCACCCATGGGCCTGGGCATGAATACGATTCAGCCTGCCCTCCTCCCACTTGAGCTTGACTGCAGAAGCATGGAGCAGGCGGCAATTCCCAGATGGGAAGCTGGCACTTCCCACCAGTGGCCTGGCCAGTGGGGTGCACGGGGGAGCCTGCCCTGGGTGTAGGCAATAAGGAGGTGCACTGTCCGTAGAGAAGGTAAAAGCAATCACAAAACTGCCTGACGGTCATTCAGCAATTCTAAACACTAGCGGTGATGAGATACTCCCCTCCCCCACCTTGGTGTTCCCCTGCTTCCTTCTTGGGGCGGGAGCACCAGGCTAGGACACGGCCCCAGGGGAGAAATGCACACCCCGGCCTCTTCCCAGCCACCTCTGCAGACTCTGCTCTACCCTCAGCTTCAGAGCCGGCAGCCAACCAGCAAGAAATGGGTATGTGTGCAAAATCCCCGCCCTAGGGATCAACCCCAGCAAGTGTAGAGGCTTCCAGCATTCTCTACAGCTGCTCTCAGCTACTGGCCAGACTTCCTCCTCCCGAGCTACGATTCAGGCGCCCTTACAGAATGATAGAATTGCAGTCGGGCCATTGGGAGGTGACCGACACCTCGTCCAGAGGTTTCCTGGGAATCCTGCCCCTGTATTTTGCCAGCCTGTGAGAGTGTGGAACTCACTACTTCCATTACAGCAGTTCCTATCTGGGCCTTGACTGTCGGGAAATTCTCCTATATTCTTGACTGGAGATTCTTTCTCCTCGGTCCTGATTCCAGCCCTCTGTGGTCCTCCATGAGGGGAGGGAACAGGGGCTAATTAAACGTGTGCCTCTCCAAGCCAGCCACTATTTCCACATTCACTCCGGTCATCCTCCCGGCTATGAGTTATTGTCGTCCCCATTTGCAGATGGGGAAACTGAGGTTGCCCAACCAGCAGAGCACACAGTCTGACTACGAAGCCACCTCCTCATCCCCAAGCCCTAGGCTAGATGCAGTGGGGCCTGACCATGTCCTTGGTCCTCAGGACTGTCATCCTGGGTCCCCTCCCCTCCTGAGGACACAACGCAGTGATGAGGGGGCACGGCTGTCTTACAGAAATCTCCTTCAGAGTGTGGATGTGCGGGGGCAGCCTCGAGATCGTCCCCTGCAGCCGGGTGGGCCACGTCTTCCGGAAGAAGCACCCGTATGTTTTCCCAGATGGAAATGCCAACACATATATAAAGTAAGTGCACATCCCAGGGGCTTCAAGGGGGCAACAGAAAGCCGAGGGCTTTCCCAGTGATGGGTTGTGGCTGTCCCATGTTCTCTGGTAAGTTTCCCGAGTGTTCTGGATGCTCTGGAGCCACACATCATTCTCCCTGGGATTCTGCCTAAGCAGGGAAGGTCGGGCTTGCCCACCCAGCTTGAGGACTAGGCCTGGGGCTGTTCCCCACCGCTGACTGCCCAGGGCTCAACAAGGCCCACATGTCCCTGGGCTCCAGGTATTTGGGGGCATTTGGGCTGGGGGAAGAGGATGCCATTTTGCCTCTGAGTTCTGGAAGATCCACTGCTCCACTTTCAGGCTGGGTCACCAGGGGAAAGGTCCTTGGAAGGATTTGAGACTGGGGATGCACAAGTGGCTACAGTTCACGTGCCTGCCCCAGGGCCCTGCCGGCACCCAGACAGGGTCCAGGCTGGGGAAGCCCTGCGACCCTGGGCTTCTTGCAGAGGGTGTTTGCACCGCCTGCAGCGGGAAGGGTAGGGCAGGATGAAGATCCAGGGGCCTCAGTGACCCGGTGCTGCACTTACCTATTCCTGCCCTGTCCCTTTGTACACACTTCTCCTGTGATTCCTTCTAGAAATAATTCCTGTGTACCCCTCTCCCCGTGTTTATCTTTCCTCCGTCTTCCCACTTTTTCCCTTATTCTCGTGTCTTGTCATCTGACAGCCTCACTTCTCCATTTATTCTCCTTTTTCCTTTTCTGTCATTTAGTCCATTTGGGAGAGGGGGAAGCTAAGTGCCTCTTGGTGCTTTTCTTCATCTGGGGCGTCGTTTTCCTCATCGGTGTTTTTCCTTCCTCAGTTTTCACACGTGTGAGCAGGTACAGGTCATGTCCTGACATGATGGTCTCAGGGCCGTCATGGGGTTGAGCAGGGGAAGAGTTAACACCTTTTGCAGGAACTTGGTGGACAGGGGTGGGGCGGTGAGAAACCCAGTGGGCACCAAAGGGAGAGCTGCCTTGGGCCCTCGGGTTTTCAGGAGGAAAAGGTGAGTGGGGGACACCTGGTGTAGGAAAGCCAGGGGGCTATGATGTGGAAGGGGGCCAGCCTAGGAATGAGGGGGCAGCCCTAGGCTTCAGAACAGGCACTGTCTTTGAGTCTGAGCCCTGGCCAGTGGGTCAGTCAGTGGTTAGAGAAAAGTGGCACAGGTGTTTCCTAAGCAGCGTGCAGTTGGCTGATGACCGGCCCAGGGGAACGTGCCAGCAAAGCACTGGTAACTTGAGTGCACCAAGAATGGACTGCGGGTGCATGACTCATTCTGGGTCCACCAACTTGGAAGAGCGTAACATACCCCTATATGGAATGCCTCTGCTCCAGACAGAACCAGAAGTCTGCAGGAGCATCCCCGTGTAGTGAGACCCCAAGTTCACTTCCGTGGACCTTGGCGGGAGTTGCTTCTCCGCTGCACCTGGCATCTTGACTGTTTTCTGATGACCTCCGTCTTGCTCTGCGGGCTCTTCCTCGTACCTCTGCCTCCCTGTCTGCTGAATGGTGACATTCTCCGTGTCAGTTTCTCTCGCTTTTTCTGTGCCCTGTGAGGTCAGACTCAGAGCAAACTCTTGGAAAAGACTAGTGTGCTGGCCAAATGTCTGACAGACGGCTTGATTCCTTGATTGTTTATGCCTGCGCCACACTGAGCACACGGGCTCCAGGAAGCCATGTGCGATTGGCTTTCCCGCCGAAAACTGGGACCCTACCACTTTCCCTGCAGAAAGGGGGAGCTCCTTGATCAGGGGTCTTGAGGGTAGCTGGAGGCCCTGCCTCTCTGCGCTTGGTCACTGGCATGTGTGGGTTCTCCTGGTTCTTTTCTCTTCATTCATTCATTCATTCATTCATTCATTCATTTTTGAGCCACATAAGTTCTATTTCTGGCATAATTTTTCTGGTGTGTACCTTTTGGGGAGGAGTTTGTCCTTCCTACTAATGTCCTGGGTCTTGGGGGAAAGGCCCCTTTGGAGAGCAGGTGGGACTTGGCTGGACTCAGCACCCAGGGAAGAATGCTATTCCTGGGTCTTGGGGCCCCCAGCTGGGTAATGTTGTTTGCATGTGCATTTTAACCGATATGTGACCCCCACCCCTCCCCAGGAACACCAAGAGGACAGCTGAAGTGTGGATGGATGAATACAAGCAGTACTATTATGCTGCCCGGCCATTTGCCCTGGAGAGGCCCTTTGGAAAGTAAGTGTCCTTTCAGGCTGATTTGTGCAGAGGATTGAGACGATCCCCAGCTCCTGACAGCCTGTCCACTTAGCTGGTCACCCAGCCTTTGAGCCACTCCAGGACCCGGGCTGTGGCTGCTCTCCTTTGTGTCCCTTCTTGCTCCTGCTCTGTCCTGGGTGTGCAGGGCTCTCGGTAGCTCTTATGGAATGACTGACAACCTGGACCACCGCCCCAGTGAGTGAGCTGTGTTTCGCACAATGGGGCGATATTTATAGCTTTTTACAGAGAAGTAGGATGCGGGACACAACGGCCTTAGTCCCTAGAGGTCAGAGCTCCTCCTCCGAATTCTGAGTCACCCACATGCAAACTGCCCTTCTTCTCAGAGGAGCAGTATCAGACTGGTGTCCCCTAGCACCCTGCTCTAGCTTCCTGGGAGTGGACAAGGACAGGAAAGGAATTCTGTGCCAGATGCCCTAAAGGCTATCCTGTTAGCACTCCCCAAACTCTGAGTAATGGATTTAATTGCCTCTATTTTACGGGACAGGGCACCGAGGCTTCTGCAGGTTAAGCGACTTGCCCTAATCAAATCACCTGGGGGATGAGGCTCAAACCACACCTGTCTGATCCCAAAACTCTAGGGTGCAATTCTCCAGCCCAGAGCTGATAAAAGAAAATGGGATGTTTATGTTTGTTTATGTTTGTCATTTGACTGTTTTGAGGAGCAGCCAGTGTTTTGTTTTGTTTTGTTTTGTTTTGTTTTTTGTCACACTGCTGTCCCTCAGTCAGACTAAGGCTGGTGAGCCGGTGAGTTTTGCTGCCTGCACCCCTCAGGAGGATTACATCGGACCCAGCCAGAATGGCTCGCGTCTCTGAGGTTATAAACCCATGCTGTCCCTCCAGGGCAATTGCACAGGACCTCACAGGACATTTGTCCTGAGTCCTCAAACTTCTGGTCCACTGTCTGTGGCCATGCACCTCCCCCTTCCTTACCTCCTGCCCTCCCCAGCTTGGGTTCACTCTCTTGCTTAAAGAGAAGGTTTAAAAGACATTGTCCTCAGATCTTTTGCCCTATTGTGCATCTATCAACACCCCAGGCAAAGTTTTCTCAACCCTGGATGAACCCGACTTTGTGCCTTTCCCTCCCCTGCGCACAGGCTGCTGAAGGTTCTGGAAGGTATCAGCCGGTGCTGCTAACACACCGTGGCCATCAGACTCAGGGAGGCCCTTGGCAGACCCATCAGTCCTGCCGCCTTTCCTGGGTACCATTCTCCCCAATCTCCATTTAAACCTCTCCTGTCTCACCAGCCCCTGAGTTCACCCGTCACTCACAACAGATGACACCTTCTGTTTTATAGATGAAATAGATGGCCTCAACTTCCCAAGACAAATGACCTGTGAACTTTGCTGTATCTGCCCCATTCTTCTCTAGTTCATCTCGAAAGACAGGTGTGCCTCCTGCCGTGTTAGCCAGCCCTCCACCTGTACTCGGGATCCACCTTTCATCTGCATTCATTCATAAGTCAACATTTATCCAGCTCCCTCCACCTGGATTCATTCTCTTCTGCCTCCTGGCTCAAGACTTCTCAAACTTTAATGTGTACACACGTCTCCTGGAGATCTTGTTAAAATGTGGTTGCATATCTAAAAAGCTCCCGCCTGGGTGGTGCCGTGTTGCCGGTCTGAGGACCTCTCCTCAAAGAGCCAAGTTCTAGGGCAATGCTTCCTAACCTAGCTTGCATGTTGCAGTCACCTGGGGAGCTTCAAAAATGACTGCTGCCACTCCCAGAGAGTTGACCTACTCTGAGGTATGGCCTGGGCTGTAGAATTTTTAAGAGGCAGCCACCCCACCCCCACCTCCATGACTCTAATGTGCAGACAGCGTGGGAACCACTGTTCTGGGGGACTTTGTCCTCTGCGGGTCTCCACTCTTCCTCAGCCCTAATCTTTCCTCCCTACCGCATGGTTCCCATCTGCATTTAAACTGAGACAGTGTCGTAAAGCTTAAAACTTAAACCATTTAAAAAGGAAGAGAAGGAGGCGGGGAAAAACCTACAAAAACTTCTCCTCAATCCAGCATCACTCATGCCCTTACAGCCCTGTCTGCTCCTTCAGGGCCACGCGTCATGAGCTCCTGCCTGTGAGTGTTGTGGGTGGCTGTTCCCTGTTCCTCTCCTGAGTGTGATCTGAGCCCCACCCCCACCTCCTGTTCCTGAGAGCCCCCACCTGGCTCACCCTGACCCCCTTGGGCCCTGTACATCCTCTGTGTTACCCCATCGGTCTTCTCCCTCCCAGCCCCTCCGGCGTATCTCCGGCCACGGTTTCTGCACCTGCAGTCTCGTGCTGCTGCCCCCACTCCCCCTTCTTGGTCCCATCTGCAGTCTCAGTTTCCTCTTTTCCACTTTGTATGTGGTCTTCCACGAGGGTCCGTCCTCTCTGTCTTCGTACTGCGCCTTCTCCAAGTACAAACTGGACATCTCCACCTGGACGCCTCCCAGGCTCCTCTAACTCAAATCCTGAAGAGAACTCGTCTACTTCACTCTTAAGCTTGTTCCTCGTCCCGCATCCCCCATCTGCATGAACACTCCTCCTTGTGTCCTGCTGCCCAAGTCAGAAATCTGGGTGTCAGCCTTGACCCTTCCCTCCCCGTCTCTTCCCATGTCCTGCAATCACCAAGTCCCGGTGATCCTGCGCCCTTCACACACTGAGCGCCTGGGTCTTTGCTTGAACACTCAACATTCAGCTTAAAAAAAAAAAAGTGACGTCATTCCTCTGCTCACCCTACTTTGGGTCTGGTGAGGAAATATGCTCAGTGCTAAGTACACGTCCTGGCTGTGAAAGCACCTGGTCTAGTCAGGGCTGGAAGGAGGGGAGGCTGGCCCAGTCAAGGTCGGTCCTCTGTGGTCACCCAGGAAGAACAAAGTGTCCATGGAACCCAGGAGGGTGATGGCAGTGCAGCTGGGGAGAAATGGAGGGGCTTGGACCTGTCCCTTCTCTCCGTTCCACTCCCGTTTCCTACCTGAGAGCGTGAGCAGCTCCTGGGCTTCTGCGGCCGCCTCCCCCTGCCCGCCCCGTCTCCAGCTTTGCCCCGTCAGACCAGTTCGCCACCAGTAAGATGCCCTGAAAGTGCAGACGTTGCCGCGTCATGCTCTGCTAAGAGCCCATCAGTTGCCTCCCATTGCCTCAAAGTCCAGACTCCTCCCCAGTGGCCCCCAGACCCTTTACCATCCGTTTCATCATCTCTTATCCCGTCTACTTCCAATCCGCCACCCCCACGTGCATACATTCATGCGCACGCTGCCCCTGCCACCAGACCAATCTCCCTTTGCTATTCCCCTGCCTCTACCTGGGGCCCCTGCCTCACCCACTTTCTGGTTTGTCTCGATAGCATCCACTTTTCCTTCCAGATACCAGCTTCACCATTACCGCCTGGGCGAGCGCGGACCCAACAAGCAAGGGTGCGCCTCTGAGGGGCCCCCACAGTCCCCACATGCCCGCCCCATGTCCCCACAGGGTTGTGGTTGCTTGTTTCATTACTTTTGTCAATTGCTCAAAAGCTCGCCATCCATCATTTCCCACATGGGGCACAACGCCTGGCACACAGTAGGCGCTCAATAAATGTCTGATGCATAAAGACATGACCAGACACCAGAACCAGCCAAAGAAGATGATTCTTTGAGGGAGAGGTGGTCAGGAATGATATTTTGACTACAGAATCCAAAGAGGGATTTGTGGATAAGTAGACTCAGAGGCCTAGCAGTAAATTAGCAACAACACCCTGAATGTCCTTGTAGCCTTGTTTTTAATGAAAAGTAAAAAACACCCCCAGATCCCATTTCCAAGTAAAAGCACAAACCCTCCGTGCGTGTCATTACCATGCCATTGTGAGATATTGCTAAGTGTTTCCATAGCTGTGTCTGGAGCTCTCGAAATCTGTCTCAGGTAATTTCTCCAGTACCCTCCGGAGAGAGGTGGGTGCAGCGTGGGCAACAGCTTGTGTTTTGTGCCTCGGCCTCGGTACCTGTCTGTGACACAGCTGTGTTTTGTCTTTGTGTCTACCCCTGCCCCCATCACCCCCAGCGTCGAGAGCAGATTGGAGCTGAGGAAGAATCTGCACTGCCAGAGCTTCAAGTGGTACCTGGAGAATGTCTATCCAGAGCTCAGGTATCCGCCCTACCTCTTGCTGGCTGCAGGGCAAGGCCCTCAGCTGACTTGGTCCAGAGAAGGGACATCCCGTGGCCAACTGGATCGGGACTTTGAAGTGCGTGGAGCTCTGAGAAGACCAGTCAGCTCCCCTTCCTTCCTGAAACCAGGAGAGGAATTAAGTTAATCAGTAGCATGAGGGATTGAGGTTAGCTAGCAGCAGTCTCTCACAACTGCTGGCATTTGAGCCCCAGTTGATCAGAGGGCGTGAGCTCGTTGACGCTGTCCTATGTCAGGCTCCTTACCCTTGTGGCTCCTGGGTCTCTCCTTGCTGGATTGTTCCTAGTGGCAGCCCCCACCCCAGCACAGGTCATGGTAATACCACCCAGGATGAAACGCCCCTGTCATCCTCAAAACCCTGCCTTGACCTCTCCAGCTGCTAGTGTTACTAAGCCAAAGAGCGGCTGGTTCTCCTCATTCCTGTGACTTTCCTCCAGAGTCCCCAACGATTCCTCCATCCAGAAGGGCACTATCCGACAGAGGCAGAAGTGCCTAGAGTCTCAAAGGCAGAGAAACACCGAGATCTACAACCTCAGGCTAAGCCCCTGTGTCAAGATCAAAGGCGAGGATGCAAAATCCCAGGTGAGCAACAGGCTGGGGATATGAGAACATGTACAGGGACTTAGCCTCCATCATCTGCTTTTCTGTGACACCAGGGGTCCAGTTATACCCAGAGCTTAGCAACAGAGGAGAAGTATGATTCCTCCTCACTCTAGGACTGAATTCACTCCACTAGTTTTCCAAATGTGTAGAGTTTCTCTGAAAGACCTCTTACTGGGCAACGTCGTGCCTATAGGAAATTGCCATTAAATTAGCAGGATTTAATGAGTACGTACGTCACTGGTGTCCTACCTGCTGGCAGTAAATGTGGGCTGGGTCAGGTGGATACAGTAAAGAACATCCAGCTTTAGCCACATAGCTTCCTCCTGGCTCCCACAGAGCTGCAGGATCCAGATTCTTTCTCCCTCTTTCCTTTGCCCGGCTCCTGTCCTCCGCTTTCATATGCTAATGGTGAGTATTCACCCAGGTTCTCAAGTCACTGTCCTTTGCTCTGTAAATGGTTTCTTAGAGATTCTAGGCAAGCTTCCAGCTTTGACATCCCGTTTCATTGATTCACAAATTCTAGTTTTCATCCCTCTGGGCATTTCACTCATTTATTCACCCAGCAATCTGCTCTTCTCAAGGTGAGGAGTGACTAGGTTGCTGGTCTCTATGGCCACACACCCCCCCAAGGGATCTAATGCAGGAAGCGGCAAGTAAGCAGCCCTTCTGTTGTAAACCCTGTCCTGGATGGAGCTCAGTCACCAAGGGTGGTATCTGCCATATGCATAAGGATCAGGGACGTCTTCCCAGAGGACTTGAAAATGCGCTGCATCCTGAGAGAGGAGTAGGAATAGGCCGTGTCAGGACAGGGAGAAGGGGCAGCCCAGGAAGCACGTGTGAAGGCCTGGGCTGTGGCTGGATGACAGTGTCCGTGATTCCAGTCAACAGCTGGCTACGAGCGGCTGCCGGGCACCACGGCCACACCCCCGTCCCACACCTTCTCTGTGTGACTACCCTCTTCCAGGCTCCAGTCCTGTCCATCTGTCCTGGCTCCTCTTTTCCCCGTGTCCCCATTCCCGCAGATCCCTTCCCGTCTCTCCTCGAATACCTAGCTCTTCTTCTTCGTCCTGCATTCACTCCTTCAGCCTTCCTCAGCCTCAGCACCGTTGACATTTGGGGCTGGATGGTTCTTTCCAGTGGAGGCTGTCCTGTGCTCTGCAGCCTGCCTAGCAGCAGCCTCTGCCCACCAGATGTCCCGCACACCAGTCGTGACAATCGAACTTTCTCCAAGCTACACCAAACCCCCCTGGGGCATAAAACCACCTGGGTTGGGAACCATTGTGTTTGGTTTCGGCCACAGTCTCCGGTCTCTGCCCCTCATCCCCCAGCAGACGTGTCACCATCACACCTCTGTTCCCCATCTCAATACAGCCTTCAGTGGCTCCCCACACCGTCTGCCACAAAAGTCTATGCCTATGTTTGAGGCATCTCACCACTGGCCTCCAGCTTGCAATGACTTTTCCAAGACCCGTTTCTCTGCTCCAGCAGGACATGGGAGAGGCTGCCTGAGTTAGACAGGAAAGGAGAAAGGAAGCAGGGGTATTGGTTTTGCCTTAGGTATGGCAGCCTGGCTGGGAATGACACCATTTGCTTAAGTGACTGTTTTGTAAACTGTTGCAAATAGGTGAGGCACCTGCCTCTCTTCTGACTCTGTGTGCAGGCCCTGTCCGCGGGGTTCCCAACAGCCTGAATGTTGCCATCCGCCTTTTCCAGGGACAGGAGTTGGCTTGATCTGTCTTCAGCAAAGCAGTGGCTTTTCATGTCTTCGGCTCCATAAGGACATGGGAGGAGGGGAGCCACAGGTTCTCTGCAGTCTCGGGGAGGGGTTCCCCACTAGCCCAGCCCCAGTGAAAGATTTCACTGGAGGGTAATAGTACCTATTCCAGCTGACCTTCCATTGGCACAAGAAGGGGAGGAAAAGCAGTGATCTGGGGAAACTAAGAGCGATCATAGTAACAGGCTTGGAGTGAGCCAAGAACTCTTTCTAGAAGAGAGTGCCAAGCTATCACTCCTCCCCACTTTGGAGAGAACAGTTTGTGTAGCAGCAGTGTGAATTCAGGAAAATGGAAGAAGACTCTAAGATAGACATTCAGTCTGCTTCCACGGACAACACTGAGTGCCCACAGTGTGCCAGGTGTCAGGCTGCATGCTGGATGCAGAGTGGGGCCAGGTTGCATCAGACACAGCCCCCTTTGAGAGGGGGCCCACGGCCAACAGCAGGACTGGGCTGCACGTCCAAGTGTTGTGAAGGTGTAAACCCTCTTTGGACTGATAGAAATCCGCATAACTAATTCAGCTAGAATAATCCCCAGTTTTGTGTGTATGCGTGCACACATGTGGAGCTACATGCTTGCAGGACTGACTTGGGTTACCTTTCTCTTCCTTTCAGTATGTTTCCGTCCTTCCTACGTAGGAGAGATAGTCCTGCCTTTCTGCCCACCAGCCCTTTCTGCTAATGTGCTATGACATCCCGAGCTTGTCTCCTCTGACCCTGCGTCGCCTCTTCTCCCCTCCTACATTTTATTTCTCTTCTTGTGCTGCCTCTTGGCCTGTCCAGAGGGGGGTCCCATGTGCCCCGCAGGCCCTTTCTCATGACTCAATTCAGCCCTTTCTGCAGCTGCCGCCTTCTCTGCCTGTGAGAAGCCATAGCAAGGAAGGGATACAAGAGCCCTGTTAAGGAGGTATCACTATTATCCTAATTTTGCAGATGAAACCAGGGCCTGGAGAGATTATCCAAAGTCATAGGCTAGGAAGTGGTGATGGCGGGATTTGGAAAATCTAGCCACCATGCCATAGCTCTGCTATCGCTGCTGCTGTCAGAGTCATAGATGGTTCTGGAACCCTTTTATTCAAGTTCATTCGTGCGAGATGTCTGTCCCTGAGATCCCTCACAAATATAGAAAACTGTAGATCAGCTCCACTCTGACAGCACAGAGCTGGTCACTTCCCACTGGAACCAAGGGTCACACCCCATGTCGGGGACTGGGGGGGGTGCTGGACCAGACAATCGGCACCTCCCCGACATTGATGGGAACTGGGGAAGTGCATGAATGGAGGCCCACGTTCCCTGGACTCCATGCCAGGGCAAGGGGGTGGGGTACACTTAGCACAAGCTACTAGCCTGTGCCTATTCCCCTTTTCTGCCCGCCCTGGCTCTGTCCCCCACTATGAACTCCCTGCTGGCAAATCCACATTTGGTCGCTCCCCTCTAAATGGTTCCCTTTGGGTCTGGCTGTGTGTAGTCTGGCTTCAGTCTACCCTTGGGAGGAGAGACCTGGGGTGAGATCTCTACAGGTCCTGAAACCAAGCTCAGGCCATGCGGTAGATGACTCCAGGGTCCAGACTCCTGGAGTAAAAGAACAGCAGAGGGTGGTAACAAGAGCTTGGAGTTCTGCTTCCAGCTGGCCCCACGCTCTCCAGGGGTAGGTTCCCAGGCACATGGGTGTCCCCATTGTTGAAAGGAGACAACCAGACCATGGTTGTCCTCTGCCTCTGACACTGGCTCATGTCCCTGCCCCACCCCCAGCCCATCTGTCCACCCCTCCTCACCTCTCTTTCTTGGCCGGCTCGTCAACCTTGGGAACAAAATGTTTAATCTGAGAGTGTATTGAAGATGTCAGCAAGCTGATGGCTTGGGTGAAGTACACGAGAAATACGTCATCAGTCTGCAGACGTGCGAAGCCCAAGAACCCTCCAGGTTAATGAGTTTCCCCCTTAACTTTATTGGATTCTCTAGAAAAATATTTGTGTGAAAGATAGAGGGAAGACAGATGCACCAATCTCGTTTACTATCCCAATTTTTCAAAAGGGAAACAAACCTAAAAACTCTTCAGTGTGTCCGTCTCCCTGTGTTCCTGGCAGTTTGGGCTACTGGCTTATGAAGGACACGTGTAGACAGCTGGACACCCGGGTGGGTGAGAGAAGGTGAAACTCTTGCCCCCGCACCTGCACTCCCCTTGGCACCCAAAGTGAGTCTGCCCACGGGACGGTGGCCAGTATGTCATCTTCCCTGTCTGATCCCACCATTCCTCCCCACGCTTCGGGAATACACCCTTGGGATCGGCCCCATCATGGCTGCCTTTCCGGCATCTCTCCTGGGAGGCGAAGCAAAGGCACTTTTCTAAAGGAAGCTCTCTGGGCCCATCTCTTTTCCTGTTGGCTTCCTCCATTACCGTAGTCCACAGATGAAGCGCTTGCTGTGTGGTCAGCCCTGTTCTGAGCACATACACATGGAAACCCATCTGTTCCCTACAGTGACCCTCCACGGCAGGGACCCACATTATCTTCATTCCCCACAGAGGGGACAGAGCTGCAGAGTTCAGTATGTCGCCCACGTTTGCAGGAGTAACAAGCGAGGAGCCAGCAGTCACTCTTGGGCCCAACAGCATGACCCAACAACAGATGCGCTGGCTGTGGGTTTTTAGTCACATGTATATAAAGTGTGTTCTTACAACTCAGGACGAAGGGACAGGATGGACTGGGAATAAAGAAAACACCCTAACAGTGAGTCTGGTGAAGGTCCTAATCGAAGGCAGGGACTGTAACTCTGAGCCTCCCAGGTCACCAGGGAGAGGCTAAGGTCTGTGTCTGTGCAGCTGAAGAAGGTGTCCCCAACACGGCCGGTCAGTACATTTGGGTGATCCTTCAGGGACCTAGGTGCATCGAGAGGTTGGCTGAACTGAAGTGTCACTTGAGCCCATGCATTCATTCCAGACACCTTGTCTGAAGAAGGCTTCAGGGTGTGTGTGTGTGCGGCCTTCAGAGTGGCCTACTCAAGGCCAGCTGGTGGTTCTGGATGCTCTTGGCTCAGATCCAGTCTCACCAAAGAGGCCCCACATTTAAAGTCGACCCTGCGGTCTGCACCTGGCATTGCCCAGAGTAACCACGGACCTCTGTCCCCCTCCATAAAACCGTTCCTGCCTCCCAGGGCCAGTGTGAGCATCAATAGACTATGAATGTGAAGCACCTGAAGCCAGAGT